ACCCGCACCGGGGTCATGAGGAGTGGCCCTTTAGAGATAAGTTGGGAGGGGGTTAGGAAAAATGTAGTCTCTAAGGAATTTTGGAAGCAAGGTTCCCAGGACCTTGAGGGGACTGGCTATTGTTGGGAAAGGTCACTTATTACCACCTAATAAAACCCGAGTCATGAGACCCTTCAGATGTATATCGGTGGGTCACATGCTTGGGGGAGGATTGCCAACACGTATCTTAGGGACTTTAGAGATAACATTTCTAAAGGAATTTTTATATATTAAAGTAGACTTATAGGATCCTGGGGGCCGGGCTAGGTTTGTCTTTTTGCCCTTAGCAAAGTATCAATATTGAGGTCGCTGAGTCCCTAGAGGAATGTCACTTTGCCTGTTTTCGGGACTTGTCAAGGGCCTGTAGGGAGTGAGGAAATTTAATAATTTCTCTTCTGCCTTGGTTTCCCACATCACTTGGCTCTTTGGGCTGCCAGCTCCTGAATCTAGCTCAGAGAGTCAGTGTCTGGTGTAGGGCATGATCCGGGGTCCCAGCCGCAAGTCCCAGCTGTCCCTCCCCCCAAGGCAAGGCGTTCCCAGCTCAGGAAGAGGGCTTCAGACCTCAGCAGCTGAGAAAAATGCCAGATGGCTGCTGTGTCCCCTGCACTGTCCACACAGTGCTGCTGGTCGTCCCCACATCCGTCCAATCCTTAAGATTCTGGACAGGGGGTTCCTGGGTGGCTCAGTCGGTTAAGCGTGTGACTTGGGCTCAGGTCCTGATCTCAGGGTCCTGGGAGGGACCCGTGTGTCAGAATCCGCACTCAGCGGGGAGTCTGCTTCTCCCTCTCCCTCTGTCCACCCCCCTCCCCAGGCACATACACTCTCTCTCAAAAAAATAAACAAATAGATAGATAGATAGATAGATAGATAGATAGATAGATAGATAGATAGATAGATAAAATCTTTCAAAAGGATTCTGGGGCATCTGACTCAGTTGTTGGGTGTCTGTCTTTGGCTCAGGTCATGATCCCGGGGTCCTGGGATCGAGCCCTGCGTCGAGCTCCCTGCTCCACGAGAGGAACCTGCTTCTCCTTCTTCCTCTGCTTACTGCTCCCCTTGCTTTTGCTCTCTCTCTGTCAAATAAATACATTAAAAAAAAAAAAGATTCTGGACAAATTTAAAAAAATTTTTAATGCAAGCCTTAAACCAAAGCCTGAGATTAGAATGCTTCCCATGGTGTTTCAAAGGACCAGTAATTTTGAATATTTTGAATATTCAAAGATATTGAATATCTTTGAATATTTCAAAGACGGCTGCCCGGTTTGCTGGACCTAGGGTTCCTCTCACCCCCTCCCTCTTGGAAAGGAACACCCAGTGCAATGAGGTCATCCTTACAAGAAGCGCTCATTGTGTGCCAGAGGCCTTGGGCTGTGTTTCACATGCAGGACTTCAGTAACTCTTCATGACAGTCCTGTGAGGGAGGGGATCTATTCTTGTTTCTGTTTACAGATGAGGAAATGGAGATTCAGAGAGGCTGAGGACTTGCTCAAAGTCACAGAGCCTGCTTGGTAAAGCCAAGCAGAATTCGAACCCAGAAACGTCAATGCCAGAATCTGTGTGCTTAAGCACTTTATGATGCTGATACACAGAACTTGCCACACGCTTCCTTCTGTTCTCCCATCGTACCTCCCTTAGTGCAATTTCTGAATAATACTGGGGACAGGGAGAGCCTATCAACGTGACCTTGAGGAATCAGCTGTAATAGAACATTACCATCTGCCTTTGCCCCTCTCCTGTTGGCTAGTCCAGCCTGGAGCTCATGCTTGCTCATTAATTTAGTTATTCCTCACTATGTTGCAGAAAGAATATAAACAGAGTAAGAGCATTTAAACTTCCCTGTCTTGATCTGAAGCTGCAGCATGGAAGCCATCGAGGGCCAGGAAGTACAGTGGTTAAGATCCCAGAGAGCCAGAGCTGTATTGTTAGGGTCTTAATCTCAGCCTCCCTATTGGCCAGCAAAAGCCTTGAAGGAGATGCTTAACTTCTGCATGTTTCCATTTCCCCAACTGTAAAATGGGAGTAAGGCCAGACCTTCTGTACAAGGTTTCTGTGAGGAGCAGAGTTAGTGCACGAAGCTGAGTTAGGGTATGAAGGAGGGGCACAGGCAGGGTGCTGTTTCCCTGGGTCGGCTGCAGCCTGACCCCCCTTCAGTGCTGGGCCAGTGCCTCTGGGCCATTTCAACCTACCAGCCTTTCCTACTTCTGCAAGTTTCCTCTCCCTCCACCTTGGGCTTGCGGCTCCTGCTTGGGTCTCCCAGCCTCCGGATGCACGTTCCAGTAGTCAGAGGATGACAGTTGGGCAGTCCCATCCAAATGAAGCACTGTCTCCTCCTGTGGTCTTGCCCAGCTCCAGAGTGGGCTGATTGAGGACTGTTTTGCTTTTTTTTTTTTTAAAGATTTTATTTATTCCTGAGAGACACACACAGAGAGGCAGAGACAGAGGGAGAAGCAGGCTCCCTGAGGGGATCCTGATGCAGAATTTGATCCCAGGACCCTGGGATCACAACCTGAGCAAGAGACACTCAACCACAGAGCCACCCAGGTGCCCCAGTACTGTTTATAGAGTTTTTACCAGCTTCTGATTTTCTTCCTTGTAGCAAGGGTGCAAATGTAGTTAGAAACCTCAATCCAGGGATCCCTGGGTGGCGCAGCGGTTTGGTGCCTGCCTTTGGCCCAGGGCGCGATCCTGGAGACCCGGGATCGAATCCCACATCAGGCTCCCGGTGCATGGAGCCTGCTTCTCCCTCTGCCTGTGTCTCTGCCTCTCTCTCTCTCTGTATGACTATCGTAAATAAATAAATAAAAAATTAAAAAAAAAAAAAGAAACCTCAATCCACGATGAGGACGCTGATCCTTGGAGAGGTCTGCCCGAGGGCCAGGCTGCTGGACCCATCAGGGCTCAGATTTCATGTCAGGTTCTTGCAGGGGGCGGGGGGGGGGGTTTGGGAGGAGGGCAGAGGTTTGGAAATCGTGGAAAGTGCACGGCAAAGGTTGCAAGGGTTGCAAAGAGGTCTCTAACTTCTGGGAGCCAAGTACTCGCCAGGACTTTTGGAGCTGACCTGACACCTAGTGGCCAATCATAGGAATTAGTCCCACTTAGGGAAAGCTCCCTGGCTGAGGCTGTGTGGGCTTGTCCATCCTTCACTCACTTGGGGGTGGCAGTGTGTCCAGGGGCTGGCTTGGAAGGTGGGAGGTGGGGGTTGGGGTGGGGGTGGATTTTAGCTTACCTATATCTCCATAATTTCCCCAAAGCTACCCAAACGAAAAGTAACCTTTGATCAGAAGATTGCTGCCTTTTCATTTTATGCAAGAGATGGATTACAAAGTCTTGAGAAAACTTTGCTGTTTTTACCAATCCATAGTCTATAGTCCACAAATTCTCATACTTTGTGACTTCAAAACCCTCAGGGTTCCACTCAGACCCCAGCAGTTCTTGGATGCTAAGTATGGGAGGCGACTTGATGGGGGTAAGTTTATAGATTATAATAGACTTAAAAGACACAGCCTGACTTCAAGGGGATTCAATTTATTTGTGGGGTGGAGCAAAAGACATCTACATACCCTGATGAGTATGGTAGATGTGGGCTTCAGCCCCCGAATCCCTATTACATTTCTTTATTTTCTTCTATGGTCTGAATTTTGACTCCAAGCTCCTATATGGCACCCGATTAGTGGAAATTCAACTTTAGGCTAAGACCCTGATGAAGGAAGGTGCACTGTGAGGAGGGGGCACGTACCTGATTTCAAATAACATTCCTGACACATGGGCGGAGAGGCCTTGGCATCAGCTCCACCCCTGGCGAAGCAAAGTGAAACCCAAGAGTGGTGACTGGATGCATAGATGCCGGTCCAGGGCTTCCCCATGCTCTGAAGTGTCGGTTCTCGGTTATCCCCCAATTTTCCCACTTTTCAACCCCTTGCCCAAAATAACTGCCAGGTGACTGTGTCTGTTCATTCCATGGGTATTTATTGAGCATCTGTCATGTGCCAGGCACTATGCAGTGCTGTAGAGGTACAAGATTATTCAGTCTACAATGCAGTCGACAATTCAATATACATGTGAGGATGCCCTTGTTCATCCACAAAGACAAGTGCCCCCCACCCCGCCTGCTCAGCACATGCTGTTCCTGACTATCCCTGCTCTACGCTAGGCAACTCAGGCAACTCGTGTCTCCCTAGCCTCCAAGGAATTTAAAAAAGAAACACAGGGCAGCCCGGGTGGCTCAGCAGTTTAGCACCGCCTTCAGCCCAGGGAGTGATCCTGGAGACCCAGGATAGAGTCCTACGTCGCGCTCCCTGCGTGCAGCCTGCTTCTCTCCCTGCCTGTGTCTCTACCTCTCTCTCTCTTTCTGTGTGTCTCTATGAATAAATAAATAAAATCTTAAAAAAAAAAAAGAAACGCAGAAGAGTAGATCCCCAGAACAGACTGGGAAGCCTTTAGTTGAGCTGTCCTACTTTTCAGATGGAAGCATAAGGCTCCAAGGTCAGGTGGCTAAGTAGTGCTGGGCCTCGACTACATGCCAGGTCCCTCTGTCTCCCATCCTGGGCTCTTTCCACATGGCCCCTCAGCATTTGCTTCTAAAGGTCCCCGTCCTTGTTTCCTGAGCATCTGTTCCCTCAGCCACTGCCTCCCGCAGCTCAGAAATCTCTCCTTGACACAGTTTACATTTGCTCTGATGACCGCCTTTGTGCATTGATCTCCTCTTCCTTCCACTCCCCCGCTTTTCTCTTTTCTCCTGCTGCCTAGCAACCCCATCGCATTCCCAAGTTGTCTTTGCAGCTCCCACCAAGGCCGCCAAGGATGCACCCCCTGCTGGTCACTAAAAGCAGGGGGGTGCGGCCCCTGGGGAAGGGCACACCACCACCAGCAGCCCAGAGACACTGGGACCCAGCCAGACTTTATTGGCTCGCTTACAGTCTGGCCTTGAAGTTTGTCTACGGAGGTTTCAGACAGATCTCCGCCTCCTCCCTGCCACCATCCGACTTGCCAGGACATCTCTGTCACCAGGACTTCTTTCCAGACCAGACTGGTTGCTAGGGCTTCACCGTTTTCAACAAACTGGTTTGAAAGGTAAGGGGATGACACTGAGTACCAGTGCAGACTCAGATCCAAGCAAGACCATTAGAGGACCTGCCCCTCATTGTGGCAGAGGGTTGGACACAGCTGAGTTTCTGTGCCAGCTAGGCAACAGGGCAGAGAGCTGGTTTACATTGTTGGCAAGGGTTTGGCACTAGATGGGAATTTAGAATGTGCACACCCTTTGACCCAGAGATCACACCGGCTCCCCACCACCGAGCCCTTGTCGGAGAGAGTCATGTGTGCAAACACCAAAAGGATGCTGGTTACAGTATTATTTGTCATAGCAAGACCACGGAAATAAATACCCATAAAAATGAGGTTAAATAATGAGCCTTCTGTGCTATTGAAACAGCACATGGCATTTAAAACGACATTTAAAACGACTGCGATGGATCTAAATGTACAAACACGGAAAGATCGCCAAGACATCCTGGAAGGCAAAGCAAATTCAGAGGAACGTGATAACATGGTTCTATTTATGATAAATAAGAAACTGTGTGTTTGTGAGGGTAAAATAATATAGAAGAAAACATATGTGTATGCGGGGCCTACCACATGCCAGGTGATGTTCTACATGCTTTATAGGCATTAATCCTTTTACTCCTCAGAAGCTCCTATGCCATGGGTAGTGTTCTAAGCTCAGAATACAGATGGGAAAGCTGAAGCCCAGGGAGGTCGAGTGACTTGCACAGGAGTGGACCTGGGCTTGGGACTCAGGTGATCTGGCGTCCGAGGCCACGTTCTAAACCACTATCTCACACGCACACACGTGCGCACATACGTGCACACTTGATTGTGGGTTATGGGAAAGGTAGGGAAACGTGCCCTGGATTTGCTCATGAGTACTCCAGGAGGCAGAGTGCTCTGTAGGGAGGAGATAAAAGAGGACGTTCACCTTCTTCTTGCTACACTGCTGTGGATTTAGAATTTTCACGAGTAGATAGTGTTTGTAACAAAAATGAAGATAAAAATATCCATGCGACAATAAAAATGACCACTCTGCTCTTCAATCAGAACTAACAGAGCTGAGGGATAATTTGCAGGGCGCATCAGAGACCTCCCCTCAGTTCCCAAGACTCGGGGACCCAAGTCCCAGGACTGCCTCCTGATGACCACTTGAACTCGTCTGCGGACCCGGAACTTGGTCTCTCAGGCTCTGCCCGGGCACTTTCCACCCACTTCCCAAGGCACAAGAAGCATCATCACGTCAGGGAGGGTAGATGGGAATGGTGTGGGGGACGTGCGAGGCATCTTGAAGGGTCCCCTTGCTGGGTGACATGTGCCAGCCTCTCGCATGCATTGTCCCCATTTAGGCCTTACAAACCCTCTCGGGTGCTGGGGTCATAACCCCATGCTAAAGACTTGGAGACTGAGAGCCCTGGGTGCGGCTGCACCCTTGACTAGAAGCAGGGTGTGCAGATGGGTCAGTCTGCCCCGCCTGTCCTTGCCTGGCTTCTCCCCACCAGAGGCATTAGTTGGGGCACAGGACAGAGGGACCCGGGGAAGGCTTGTGGAGCAGGGCCAGAGGGGATGGCTCGGGTAGCGCTCCCTAAGGACACTGCAAGAACACAAAGCTGCAGGGCCGGATGGGAGCCCAAGTTGGCGGGGCAGCTTCTGGAAACACATAGACGTGGCTTCAAAGGCCACGGCTGCTCCTGTATGCACACACTGAGCTTCTGCGCTGCCTTTCTCCAAAGCTCAGCTTCATTGTCTGGGCTGTGAGGGAGGATGGACCTCTGGGGCTCGTGGGCAGGCCCAGCGCCCACAGAGGAAGGGGCTGCGGGAAGGGCTCACGGAGGGAGTTGCCTGCCTTATTGCTGCTGTCCCGGCCCTTTTCTGTCTCTTTAAGGAACACAGCTTGTGTCACAGGACATCACTGTCCACAGCGGAGTGGCCTGCACCTTCCGTACTTGCCCGGGAGATCCTCTCTGGCCTACTGGGTACCCGGCAAACACCTGTCACCACTCCAGGGCCTAGCCACGGGCTCCGCTGCGTCACCTCCTGTTCAGCTGTGACACTATGTCCCCAGAACCTGGCCCCACATCCAGCAGCACATGGTGGAGGCTGAAGCTCTGCGTGGAGCGTGAATGGAAGTGAGGAGGCAGACAGTGGGGCTGCCTGGGAGCCGGGGAGCCGGTGGAGGTCATCCCTGGTCACAGGCAGACACGGTGGCCCTTGGGGCGCAGATCAACCAGGGCGCCTGGTGGAGAGGTGGGGGCTCACGGGGGGCAGAAGCAGGGGAGGTTGGCCGCTGGCCTGGACTGACCTGAAGTTCACCATGTCGGGCTTGTCACTCAGCTTCTTTACCAGCTCCCTGACCTGGTACAGGTTGAGGGGGACCTTGTCCTGCTGAAGAGGTGGACGGAACAGGCCCGGTCAGTGGAGCTCCCTGCCTAGCCCTCCCCAGGGCCACACACACACACAGACACACAAGGACACACAGATACACACGCAGACGCATGGACACACACACAGACACACAGAGACACACGGATACACACAGAGACACACAGAGACACGTAGAGACACACGGACACATACACAGACACAGACACACAGAGAAACACACACACAGAGACACACAGAAACACACGGACACACACAGAGACAGACACTCAGAAACACACATACAGAGACACACACAGACACATATGCACACACAGACACACAGAGATACACACACAGACACACACAGGCACACACAGATACACAGACATACGGACACATGCAGACACACAGACACACAGATACACACAAAGACACACAGAGACACACTGACACACACACAGAGATACAGAGATAAACAGACACATACAGACACAGAGAGACACACACTCACAGATAGACACACAGACAAAGACAGACACACAGATACTGGTTGTAGCCCCTGGGGGTCAGCACACCAGTATTATGGCTTTCCGGAAGTTGCCCACAGGCATCGTCATCTTTCCATCAGGGCTCAGGCTCTTGAAGAAGTCTAAGACTGTGATCTTGTGCTGGTCGGCATAGCTCTGGGAGAAGCAGGAGACACCAGGAGCAAACACTTGATTTTATAACATCTATTAATACCACCCCCCACCCGCCGCCACCTCCCACCAAAGGGTGGCCTGGCAAGCAGAGGGGGGAAGGAGGCCGGCTGGGGAGCCTGAGTCTCCTGGGTGTTAGCGGTCGCCCTGCACAGAGTGAGGTGTGGCAAGCGGCATGCCGTGATGGTTCTGTGGGTTTGCTCAGTTTCCAGGAGCCCCCACTCCACGGAGCAGGATCTCTACGTGGCTCCAAAGAGGGAAGGATTAGAGTCCATGCTGTTTGGTCCACCTATCTTTCTTTCTGTCTACCTATCATCCATTATCCATCCATCCATCCATCCATCCATCCATCCATCCATCTTTTTTTTTTAAAGATTTTATTTACTTATTCATGAGAGACACACAGAAGCAGAGACACAGACAGAGGGAGAAGCAGGCTCCTCGCAGGGAGCCCGATATGGGACTTGATCCCCAGACAGGGATCGCACCCTGAGCTGAAGGCAGGTGCTCAACCGCTGAGCCACCCAGGTGTCCCCATCCATCATCTTTCTATTGTACATACTGTTTTATAAAACACAGTGTACTAATACATCGTGAACCTCTTCTCAATATCATAAAACATTCCTCTGGGGTCCTTTTTAAGTATCTTTTTGTTTCTCTTCCCCTCCCACTCTCAAAAAGCCCGGAGGGCCCAGCCATACTGCTAGACATTTCTGCAGGCATCCTGCTCACAGAGGAACTCCTCTGGGACCAGTTCTTGGCCCCTGCCTCTTCTTTCCCCTTTCCCCACACTTCCTACTCTGGGGTGCACTGCCTCTCCCCCTGGGGTGACTCTACTTCTGGATCCTCAACAGTTGCTCACAAGTCCAGGCTGACACCCACTGGCACCTCAGTCCATCACATCCCAGGTGATTCTCAGTCTGCTCGACGCTGTCAACACCGTAGGCGCCATGGCAGATACCATGGGTGGGTGAGCCAACACACCTCCAGTTCCCCCATGGCACGCTGCTCTTCCACGCTGAGGCTGCAGAGCGCGACGTCGACATTCCCCCAACCCCCTTTCAGCTAGGGGTTGGAATGGGATGGGTTTCACCAAGCACCTGGGTGACTCTTGTGTGAGAGGTCTGATTTGGAGACAGCAGGCCGTGGGCAGCTGGAGGGTGGTCCTGATTCAGTGGGTGACTCTCCACTGGGTAGCCTCCCCCCCCCTTTTTTTTTTTAAGATTTTATTTATTGATTCATGAGACACACAGACACACACACACACAGAGGCAGAGACACAGGCAGAGAGAGAAGCAGGTTCCATGCAGGGAGCCTGATGTGGGTTCGATCCCGGGTCTCCAGGATCGGGACCTGGGCTGAAGGCAGTGCTAAATCGCTGAGCCACCCAGGCTGCCCCATTGGGTAGCCTCCTGCTAATGGCAAAGCAGCAGCCATCCTGCAGTCCACTTGGGGGTGCAGGAGACATTTTCAGAATCTAAACCAAGACTCTTGTTTCTCCAGCCCCCATGATGTTTCTGTGCTCTGTCTCTGGTGATAGATCCCTCCTTGTTTAACCTAGCTAGGGTGGATTGGGCGGTCAGCGACAAGAACTTTGACCATACAAGGACCTGTTACTTTGGTAGGTGCTATAGATGAGACCCATCATAGCTCCTGCCCTGGAGGAGTTGTTCAGAGAGGGCCTAGTTACTCCTGACTAGGGAATCTGGAAGGGTTGCCCAAGGACATGAACTTGAGTAGAGACTTAGAGAAAGGGGAGGAATGAATGAGGCACGGAAGGCAGGAGGAAGGGTGTTCCAGGCAGAGGAACATGCATGTGTATGGGCCGGGGATTGAGCGAGAACTGGTGTGAAGAAATGGAGAAATCCAGTGGAGTTCCTCTGTGGAAAACTGGGGGTAGGGAGGGGTGGACGGAGGGTGGGGCTGGAGAGGGCCTCCTTGCCACTGGCAATGTCACTACCTTTATTTTAGTCCCTTGGACTTGAACTTTTGAGGTTATCCTTGGCTCTCTCCTATCATCCCGGCCTTCCTTTTCCCAACACATGCACACATGCACACACATGCACACTTGCACACATGCACCATATACCCCAACACTCAGCAAATCCTGGAGATGCTCCATAGTGATACCTCCTACATCTGTCCCTCCACCTCCTTTGCCACTCTCAGGCAAGGTTTCATTCTAGAACACTAGTTATCATACCTAGGATACTACCATAACGTCTGCATTGGTGTTCCCACTTTCATCTTTACCCCCTTCAGTTTATTTCCTCCCCATTTCCTGAAAAATTATCCCTCGGTCCTGCTCGAGTCCCATCACCTGCTGCTCAGCAACTACCACTGGCTCCATGCTCCCCTGTGGAATCAAACCCCCACGTGGAGTGTGGAATCTGAGGATCACCATATCCGGCCCCAGCCTCCGTGTGCAGCCTTGACTTACAGGCTTTGCGGGAACCTGGAACCATGCGGTCCTGTTCCCATTGCCCAAACAGACTGTGTGCACCCACTTCTGCTCCTTCGAGGGTGGGAAACCTACTCCCAGAACTCCCTCCCTGTCGTTGCCCACCTCAAGACTTTCTGCTTTTCAAGGCCCTTCCCCAGGACACATCTTTTTCTGTTTGCCCTAATCCCGCAGTGGCCTCTAGTCTGGACTTTGATGCTATTTGTTGCTCTTGTCACTTATTCATTATTTATCATATATCTATGAGAAGTTATTGCATCTGTTCCATCTTTTCAACCAGATGGTTGCTCCCACCCTCCCCCCAACTGCCGCCCCGAGGGGAAGGACTATGTTTTATGTTGCACATCCGGTTTGGTTTCTGAGATTCCTCTGAGACTCCTAGAGATTTCTTTGCTGTTTTAAACAGGGGATGGGGCCCCCGCTTTGCAACTGAGAACTCTGTTCCTGTTCCCTGGAGCATCCTGCGCCCCTTGAAAAACAGATTTCCCCTTGGTTCTATCTGATGTCATCTGACTTGTGAAGATAGTCAATACCCCCCTTGCCTTCCAGAACTTTCCACACAACAATAATTTTCATGCAGAACTCTCCTATTTAGTCCTGGAAGCTAAGGCACAGAGCAGACCAATCAAGATGCAGGAAGCAGCCCCAGAGGCACAAACCCTGCAGAACCTACATCTGCACGGCATCACCTCAGATAGCAACCAGTCTGCATCCAGCAGAGGCCCGCCAACCCTGCCACCGGTGAGGGGCGGGGGTGGGAACACTGGCCTGGGCTGGGTACTACTCTGTGAGGTGGTCAGACCAGGTGAGCTCCCTAGCAGCTCTAAAATTGTCTGATTTTTTTCATTCCCATGGTTACATCTCCCTCCTGTGACCTAAGACTTAGGTCAAGAGCAGGTTACCCCTAGATATAAAGGATCTGAGCGTTCCTCTTTAGCTAAAGCCACCAAATAGCTGTGCTCACCAGGTATCTTGGCATCCTTACCAGCTATTGGAAAGAGCTTGGGTTTGTTGGGTGCTTATTATTGGCCAGGCATTGCTCTCAGCCTTTTGTGGGTGTCATATAGAATTGATCTCTGCAGCAGCCCTCCTGGGGTGAGTCCTGTTGTTCTACCCATTTTCCAGGTGAAGAGACTGGGACCCAGAGGGCACTGTGACTTGCCTTTGTCATACATTAGCAAGTGGAGGAGCCCGGCTGGTAGAAACCATCCTGTTCCAAGCCCCTGCCACTTCAGCCAGTTCCCAGATCGCCCCTTCCTCCGGGGTCAGATGGCACTACTGAGGGGAAATCCAGCATCCACAAGGAATATTCCATGTCTGAGACATTCCTTATCAGAGAGGATTGTGCAGACCCTTTGCAGGAGGGGAGACTCTGAGTCCTTGGGGTCTCTGAGAGGAAAGCAAGGGCTCACCTGAATCAATTTCATGGGGTTCGCCCACAGGAGGACAGTTTTCTTGGCAGAGAGGCCTTGCACTGCCTTGTACACCACGTCCAGCTGGGGGTGGATGGCACACACCCCATCCAATATTTTTAGGAACTGCTCAGACACCAGCACATTCTGAGGCAGGGAGACAGGGGACCCCTCATGAGGAAGGCATTACCCGTACCATCTTGACGCCCCCCCCCCACCCGCTGCCCCAGCCCCAGGTCCATCCAAGCCAAAGGCAGAGGTGTATGTTTTTTGTTTGTTTGTTTTGTTTTGTTTTTTGTCTTTTCCAGCTTTTTCTGTAGTGCTGCTCCTAGACTGGGGTAGTTGATCTTTCTTAGACTCTGATTTGACTTGTGAGGTTCACACGTGATTTTGATCAGATGTTCTAGTTGAGTGCTGGTAGCCTGTCACATACTGTCGGCTCGGCTCTGCTCTCAGATGGTGAGCATCACTGTCTGCATGTGACAGATGAGACACAGCTATGGGGTTAGGAGGCTGGTCCCGAGGCAAAAGCCCTGAAATGTCCATTTCACCACCATATTGGTCTTTGGAGCCGGTGCTCTGGATGAGGATTCCTCTTTCCAACCACTCTGACCTGACTCAAAACTCCCCTTTTAGAAGTGCCTTCAGTAGTGCCAATCTGGGTTATGAGTCACAGAAGAGATGTTCTGTGAAGCAGTGTTTGACCAAACCTGGCCTTCACTGGTTTGGTCAGCCTGCTCCATTCCTCAGATGTGCTTCTGAGGATTCACTTACTGCTTCGAATAATTAAACCCATGCTTAACCTGATTTGTAGATATTCTAGAGAAAGTTCTAGAGAAGGTTCGTCTACAATGAAGAAATTCCAACACTGTTTAGAGCTATGTCAGGAGAAATGACAAAAGGGAAGGAAAAGGCCCATTCAGACTGTCTGTCCTTGGTAGGCTTGTAAAATGGCAGTGTGATCCCAGCTCATGGGGACATGAGTTCGTGTGCCATCTGGAGTTAGATGAAACAGCACCATTTCTAATGTTCCCTCAGACACCAAGGGACAGTGACTGTATGCATGCCTTCCAAACTGTACTGTGGGGGAGGGAGGGAGAGCAAATGCCAACAGAATCTGGGTGTGTAACTGAGACCCAGAGGCAGGGTGGGGCAAGGTCAGAGCTGTAGGAGGAGGATGGACAGAGGACCTCTGCGGGGGAAGACCTTAAGCAAAAGGAGGAGCCTGGGATGGGGAGCAAGAGAACTCAGTGAAAAGAAAAGCAGGTATGTTTTTCTAATGTCTTATAATCTGTGGCAAACCTAAGTCCAAATGTTACTTATTATTCAGTTCCAAGCTCAAGGAGCTTGGGCTTCTATATTCAAAATATCATCACTGATTTTATTGCAAGGCATTAAAATCTTGGCAAAACTTTATGTTTGTGTGGCATTTATATAACATGACGTTAACACCATATGTACATTTATAGAACTCTAGAGCAAGAGGCAGAAGCCCTGGGTTTACCGTTTGTCGTGTTTCTTGTTTGCTGTGTGGTCCTGGGCAAGTGACCTAACCTCTCTGTTTCAGTTTCCTTATATAGAATATTGGAAAATGAGGAAAAGTTCTTGTTATGGGTTGGACTGTATTCCCACCAAAAAGATATTGGAGGCCTAATCCCCCAGACCCGTGAAGGTGACTTTATTTGGAAATAGGGTCTTTGTAGATGATCGAGTAAGATGAGGTCATGGGGTAGGCCCTAATCTTCTGCTATGACTGGTGTCCTTGTATAAAGGAGCATTTGGGGGATGCCTGGGTGGCTCAGTGGTTGAGCATCTGCCTTTGGCTCAGGGCGTGATCTGGTCTAAGGATTGAGTCCCACATTGGGCTCCCTGCATGGAGCCTGCTTCTCCCTCTGCCTATGTCTCTGCCTCTCTCTCTCTGTGTGTGTCTCTTGTGAATAAATAAATTAAAAGGGGGGGTGCATTTGGATATGGAGACAGGCATGCACAGAGGGAGAGCGCCCTCTGACGCTGAAGGCAGAAATCAGGGTGATGCTCCTACCAAAGATTGCTGGCAAAGCACTAGACTCTGGGAGAAGGAGAGGACACATTCTTCCTCACACTCCTCTGAAGGCACCAATCCTGCCAGTGCCTTGATCTTGAGCTTTAGTTTACAGAGCTGTGAGATAATACCTTTCTATTGTTTGAGCCACCTGGATTGTCGTGCTTTGTCAAGGGCAGCTCTAGGACTTGAATGCACTTTATCTACCTCCCAGAGTAGGGGTCAGGTGAAGCTGGAGCATGTAAAATCACTTTGGGGGGAAAGCCAGTATAAAGTGGTGGACAAGCTACCACCTCTCTGAGGATTGAGACAAGAACATGTGGCCCCAGTGATGTCACCTGTTCGAGTCTCCCTACTCCATCAGGAGGTTAACCCTTAAATTCTGCTTTCAGCAGGCCAAGTCGTGGAATAAAAATACAAATTTGCCTATGTGTTAATTCTCATATTCTAAAAGTTCTGTGATTCTGGAACCATTCTGGCACCCAGGGCTGTCCATGAGCAGAAATGGCAGTCAACAAACTCTGCTCTGGGTCCTCTCACTTCTGTTTCTACCATCTGCTCTCAGACCTTCTAGGTCTGGTCAGTGATTTCACACTGTAAAGTTATTGACTGAATGGTTATTCCCACTAAAAGGACTCCAAGAGAGGGCCAAGCTGTATTCCAAAAGGAGTGACCTTTTCATGGAGTACTTGTGTAAGGGCCTGTGAGAGACAGGGCTATTGGCACCTGCCAACACAGCGTGGCCATGGTAACTACCATGCTTCCTGGTACCAGCAACTACCATCTGATCACTCACGGAAATGTCAATCTCTTCCATCTTGGATTTGGGGTTCCTCTTGATGGATAGGATAAGCAAAACAGCCCCATCCATACTCATAGGGTTGAGGAAAAGCTGTGGGAGGAAGGGCAAGACAGGAGGAGGGTGAGATGGAGACAGACAGGAGAGGCTGGCACAGAGCATGGCTTCCATTTTTTCCCATCAAATCATAATCTCTGACTTCCACCCAGACTTCTCTGTAAGCATCTGCCTCCCTGTCTGCTTGTCCAGTCATCCATCTGCTTGTCCATCTCATGGCTCACCCCATCATCTATCCAGCCAGCTAGCAAAAATTTATTAGGAGCTTGCCATGTGCCGGTTGCTGGAAAAAGTGCTAAGGGATACACACAGACAGACAGGACAAGGTCTCCATCCACATGTAGCTTACACTCCAGAGGGGGCCACAGGCAAACAAGCAAATGGCATCAGAAGTGCAGTGAGGGCAGTGACAGAGGTCCATGTTGGTACTGCATGAGCTAGGCAAGGGGCATCCAGCACAGTGGAGGGGACACTGGAGCTAAGCCTTGCAGAACTAAGGGGGATTATTCTGGTCTGAAGAAGCAGAGGCAGGACCAGAAGAAGGAGTGAGATGCACCAGAGAAGACAAGGGTAGGCAAGTGCAAGGGTGCGGAGGTGTCTGGTTAATGGCAAACATTTCATGAGCAGGAGCGGAAAGAACGAGGCTACAGGGCTGGGGTGGGGCAGATCACAGGGACCACACGGGCTTAGCTAAGTGCTCAGGGCATTATCCCAGTGGGGCTGAGATGCCCTAGACCTAGGGCAGCCTGGGTGGCTCAGCGGTTTAGCATCGCCTGCAGCCCAGGTTGTGATCCTGGAGTCCCAGGTTGTGATCCTGGGAGACCCAGGATCGAGTCCCACATCGAGCTCGGGGCCTGCTTCTCCCTCTGTCTGTGTCTCTTCCTCTCTCTCATATTCTGTGTCTCTCATGAATAAATAACCAAAATCTAAAAAAGAAAAGAAAAGAAAAGAAAATCCCTGTTGCCGTGTTCCATCCCTGGCTTCCATCTTTGAAGATTTGGGTTCTCTGAACTTTCCCTGGCCTCCTTGCTCCCTGGTGGCTGAATCACAGGCAGGCCGCATCAGTGTCTCCACTGTGAGTTACCCTTCCTCCTGCTCTGGCCATGCCTCGCCCGCAGTTCCCAGTGTCACCAGCCCATCCCCCTGCTCCATCCACTGCTGGGAATCTGGCTTCCTCTTTGCAGCTCTGAGGTGCTTGTCCACTCAGATGGCAGCTCGTTGTCACTGGTTTCTAACTCCTGTCCTTCTCCACCAGCGCCCCCACATCTGTGGTTCCCCCGAATCACCCCCCATATTGAAGGATTTGGAGTTGCCGCAGGAGACTGCAGCTGACTTGTCTGCCCGCAGGAAGACTGCAGGCTGACTTCTCTGCCTCTCATGGCCTGCAGGGCTCGGCTTTCTGGTCTGGCGGGTGGGGCTAGTGGAGCCCACACGGGAGGGCTGTGCTGTGAGCAAGCAGCAGCCCATATGTGCACCTGCCTCATGGTAGGAGCCCCAGAAAGGGGAACTGGTAATGGAAGGCCTCATCTTTCATCTGTTTTCCAACTGCCTGGGACCTTCTATGTCATACATTAGCATCTGTACGCCAATCAATTTCCTTACTAAAAAAAAAAAAAAGATTTTGTATATTTATTTGACAGAGAGAGCACAAATAGAGCAGCAGAGGGAGAGGGAGAAGCAGACCCCCTGTTGAACAGGGGGTCCGATGCGAGGCTGGATCCCAGGACTCTGGGATCATGACCTGAGCCAAAGGCAAATGCTTGACTGACTAAACCACCCAGGTGCCCCTATAAGCCAATTGATTTGAAATGAAAGATGTATTCATTCATTCATTAATGGTCATTCACTGGGCATCTTCTCTATGCTCAGCACTGAGCTAAGGTACAAGGGGTATAATAAGGGGTAGAACCAAACACAGTCTTTGGTCTCATGCAGCTCTCACACCAGTGGAGGTGACCAGACAACTAGTCACTGAAATGCTAATATAAGGAGGAACCTGACAAGCTCTGTGTGAAGAAGTGAGCCAAGATCTGAGGGTCTGTGAGAGGCTTGCTGCCAGAGAGGCATGCTGGGGTGGGAGAGTGACTCAGGTAGGTGCAGGGAGCAGTGGGGGAAGGCACTACAGGTGAGGCTGAGGCCAGGGCCACAAGGGAGAGCCAGGCCCCAGGAGGGGGGGAGATGAAAGGAGACACTGAGGCCATGGCTGGACAGCAAGGAAGAGCATGTGGTAAACTGAGGTTGTTGAAGTACACTGGGATGAGAGAAGTGAATTGAAACCACAGGGAGCCAGATGGAGGTCTCAGCTCAAGGAAACTAGCTGCGGGTGGGGGTGGAAGCCAGACTTAGGCTCAAAATGCATACTCTGGCTTCAATGTGGAGCAGTCTGGAGGAGACCCAGGTGGGAGGAGGGAAGACCGTATAGGAGATGACACCATGCACCAGGTGACCGTAGAGGGTGACATTAGGGTTATAGCAGAGAGACAGTCTAGAACCTATGCACGTGTGAAGCACAAGGTAAATCTTCCCAATGATTCTCTCCAGCAATATGCAACCCCATCACCCTGCTGTCCCCACCCCAGCATACACAGATACACACACATGGGCACACAATGGATGCAAGGACACACAGATGAACACACATGGACACATGGATGCATACACACAGATGCATGGACACGGACACAGGTGCAGGCTCACAGCAGCATGGACACGCAGATGCATGAACACACACCTGGAAACATGGACACACATAGATTCATGGGTGTGCACACATGCACAGGGACGCACCCATAAAATGGCCCATTCCCAGCTTGAGCAAAGATTTTACCTTCAGGACTTTGAGGCTCTCATTGAACTCCAGTCCTTTGCTGATTTTGGAGATTCCCTCATTGCTGATATCATTGATGCTGATGTCTAGGTAGACCAGGGAGCTGTTGAGTCTGAGGACCTCCCCGAGGGCTGTGGCCCCCTCGTTCCCAAAGCCGTTCATAGACAGATCCAGTTTCTGCAGGGTTCCATTAGCCTCCAAGGGACGGAAGAGAACAGCACCAGTGGCAAGGTTGCATGTGACTCATCCAGCCACGAGGCCCTGGTTCCTCTCCCCATCCAGTCTGGGTGCTCAATAGTCTCTAGGAGGGAGACCTTTCCAGATCCCTCCCAGTGGAGGGAGTCAGAACCTGGTCATTCCCTACCCCTAATTAAACTGCCCTCTTGAAGTATCCCCAAAGATGCCACCGAGGCCCCAGCAAGTTGAATTTGCCAAAGTAGGATTTATACTAAAGAATAAAGCACATCCAGGAATTGTGGGAATGATGCTAACAACATGAAAGCATTTGATGAGAGCTCAGTGTGCTCTCATCAATGGGGTCATGAGGAAAAGGTTCAAGATGGTGGGATGGGAGGCGCTGGACATCCTCCCTGGACTCAACACACCCTTGCCAGAGAGCATCTTACCCGGAGACCATTGCACAAGGCCACAGCTCCCCGTATGTAGAAGTGATTCCAGCTCAGATCCAGTGACTGGAGCCCTACATTGAGGGCTGGGGGAGAAAAGGAGTCATGTGAGTGTCCTCCAACTCCCAGAGAACACACTCTTGGAGTTGACAAACGTCCATGACATTGGGGAATAAAGATGCTCATGCAAAGTTAAGACATCGGGGCAATAATTTTTCAGTTATTCATTTAAACATAAAGTTGTAAGATGATCCCCAAGGCTGGCAACAATGTAGTAAAACAATCATACTCCAATATTGCAGGTGGCAAGCGAAATTGCTACAATCTAGTTGGCAAATGTGATCTGGTCACAGATATTTCACTATTATGCGCACCCTATCACACAGCAATATCACCTCTGAGACTCTTCTAAAGACACAGTGCAGGATACGAGAAGAGTTACATGCTTGTTGTTTATCATGGCATCACTTAATAAAAGCAACGTTTGTGACTCACAGGGGAAGAGTAAAATATATAATAAACAGCACCTGGTGGAATATTATGCAACCATTAAACTAGATAGAGGTAGCATGGAACACAGGGGTTGTATTTACACGGGGCAGGCTCTGATGGCATTTATCTCACGAGATGCTTTTTTCTTGGGGATCTACGGGGACAGAGGTGGCTCCAGAAAGCTAAGTGGTGAGGCACTAGGCTCGTCCAGAAGCTGGTTTGCATACAAGTTGCACTTTTTTTTTTAAACTTAGAAATACTTTGGGGGAGCCCTGGGTAGTGCAGTCGGATAAGCGTCTGACTCTTGGTTCCAGCTCGGGTTGTGATCTCAGGGTGGGTGAGTTCGAGCCCCCCTTTGGGCTCTGTGCTCAGCAGGAAGTCTGCTTAGGACTCTCTCCCTCTGCCCCTCCTCTGCTCTTTCTCTAAAATAAATACATAAATCTTAAAAAAAATACTTTTGCTTACGTGCTACAAAGCCTTGAGGAGATAGCCTGTTCTTTTATTTATTTTTTTAAAAATAAAATCCTTTTTTGATATCCTGTTTAAACACATCATCATGGTTATTTTTATTAGGGGAGGGCAGATATGCCAGGGACACTGCTGGAGAGAGGCTGAAGCATTCTTGAAGCTTTACTGGGTGGGAGGCAGCACCTTCAGGCCTCAGGCCCAGGAAGAGGTCTGACTCGATTTTCTTTTCCATGGTCAGTGTGCTGTGTACTGATGTGTGCGTCTCTTGTGTCGACCACCAGGATGGACTTTCAGTAAGGTACACAACACCTTATATTATTTTGAGAATAAATGTTCCCCTGCCTTCATTCTCTTCCTCATTCTCCTCTACCCCTATTTCTTCTTCTCTGCTAATTCCCTCACTTAAGTTATGCTTTGCACACCTGCATCTCCTCAGTGGCTGCCAACTTTAAATTTTAGGTCTGTTCTCACCGCCTCGCTAGCTGTGTGACCTCAAGCAGGCTCCTTATGCTTCCCTTACTTCTGTTTCCTTATCTGTAAAAATGGAGATATTAACCCATGCAAGGTGTTGTGAGAGAATTGATGTAAAATATCTAGCAGGGGATCCCTGGGTGGCGCAGCGGTTTGGCGCCTGCCTTTGGCCCAGGGCGCAATCCTGGAGACTCGGGATCGAATCCCACGTCAGGCTCCCGGCATGGAGCCTGCTTCTCCCTCTGCCTACGTCTCTGCCTCTCTCTCTTTCTCTCTCTGTGACTATCATAAATAAATAAAATTAAAAAAAATAAAATGTCTAGCAGGATGCCTGTCACATGGCAATCGCTTAATAACTGGCAGCTTTCATAATAAATATTTTTTAAAGCTCATATAGGATATGATGGTAACCATTTTAAAACAGAAGGTAGTCTGTCTCACTTGAAAGTTGTTTGGAAATTTAGGGTTTTTTTAAAAAAAAATATTCTAAGTAACCTCCACACCCAACATGGGGCTTGAACCCACGACCCCAAGATCAACAGTCGCAGGTTCCACCGACTGAGCCGGCCAGGTGCCCCTAAAATTTAGTTTTAAAGTATCTGGAAATCAGTTTTCAGATGGACCCAAATTGCCCCACAAAGCTGGTACACTTTGCTCCTCCCCTCTGACCTGTTGGGCTGGGCCCTCCCTCTTGGGGAATCTGTGGCTCACCCCTCACTGAGGGGGTGGTAGCAGTGAGACCAGAGAGCTCCCCCCCACCTGCCAGGCCACCACCTCTGGCACCCACGCTCCGCCCCCTCCTTCTCTCAGCTCTGTTCCCTGAGGCCTCCCCTGCCCCTTTGCTCCTCACGCCACAGCCGCCAACCTGTTCAAGGACTCGGCTCCTGCAACTATCTCCTCCTCCTTCCTTGCCACCCGTTTCTTCTTCTTTCCTTCCTGTCAGCATTATCCAACCTTACAAACCTTCCTGACTCCATGTGACCCATCTTTCTGCCCCGGCCTCATCTCAGTGGGGCTTCTGGAGGTGCCCATGTTGCCATTTCACTTCTTTGCATCCCATTTTCAACTCCACCTCTTCTGGCCAGGTGTCCACACTCACCTCCTTCGCTAACACAACACTTGTCCTGGTCACCAATTATCTCTATGTTGCTGAGTCCTGTGGTCACTTTTCTGACCTCATCTTATTTGACCTCTAAGCAGCACTTGACCCAGCTGAGACCACTTTTCCCTTCTTGAAAGAATCCCTTACTTGGCTCTTTGATACCTCACCTTCCCCCTACTTGGCTGGCCACTTCTGCTGGGTCTCCTTCCCCACCCCTCCCTGGGACACCTAAAAGTGTCAGAGTGGCCCAATGGCCACCTTCTCACCTCCCTCCACACTCCTTGCCTAGATGATCTCATCTTGCCCCATGGTTTTATTTATTTATTTTAAAATTTTTTTAGAATTTTATTTTTTTATTTTAAAGACTTTATGAGAGAGAGAGAGAGAGAGAGAGAGAGAGAGAGAGAGGAGAGGAGGGAGGGAGGGAGGGAGAGAGAGAGAAGAAGCAGGCTCCATGGGCAGTCCCAGTGGTGCAGCGGTTTAGCACCGCCTTTGGCCCAGGGCGTGATCCTGAAGACCCAGATCGAGCCCCACTTTGGGCTCTCTGCATGGAGCCTGCTTCTCCCTCTGCCTGTGTCTCTGCCTCTCTCTGTGTGTCTCTATAAATAAATAGAATCTTTTTTAAAAAAAGAAGCAGGCTCCAATGCAGGGAGCCCGATGTGGGACTTGATCCCAGGACTCCAGGATCACGCCCTGGGCCAAAGGCAGGCTCTAGCCCACTGAGCCACCCAAGGATCCCACCCCATGGTTTTAAATACATTGCAATGCCTCTAACTCCCAGATGCATATTCCCAGTCCTGATCTGTTCACCGAGCTCTAAACCCGTATAGCAAATCGGATGTCTTCATGTAGATGTCAAACAGACATGGCAAACATCACATGGCCGAAACAGAAGTTTTGGCTCCTGACTCCTGTCCCCTCATATCTGTTATTCCCTGACTTTTCCCCATTTAAGTAAATGGCACCACCATCCAGCCAATTCCTGAAACAAAATAACCAGACATCTATTTTTCTCTCTCCCTTTCCTTCTCCACACCAGCGAGTCCTTTTGGCTTTACTTCCAAGGCACATTCTGGATTCATTCACTCCTCTCTGGAGGGCGGGGGGTGGGGGTGAATGGGTGATGGGCACTGAGGGGGGCACTTGACGGGATGAGCACTGGGTGTTATTCTATATGTTGGTAACCTGAACACCAATAAAAAATTAATTTATTAAAAAAAAAAACATTCACTCCTCTCTATTGACACCTCCTCCGTCAGCTCCAGCTATGGTCCTGTCTTGCCTGGACTACTACATTAGCTTCATGATGGGCCTTCCTTCTTTCATTCTTTTTTTTTTTAATTAAAGTTTAATTAACATGCAATGTTATGTTAGTTTCAGGTGTATGACATGGATCCAACAATTCTATACATTACCTAGTGCTCACTGTGGTAAGTGTGGTCACCATCTGCTACCACGTGACACTATTACAGTATTATTGACAGTACTCTCTACGCTCTATGTTGCTCTCTGTTTTTAAAAGTCCGCTTTGTCCTCAGTTGTGTTCATCATAAAGCTACATAAATCTCCAAAAAATGGTTCCTCTGAAACGCAAATCACACCGTGTCACTCCCCTACGTTGACACCCTGAACTGACTTCTCGTCACATGGGAAATCACATTCAGACTTCCTAGATGTCATGGCCCATGAAGCCTCACCCAAGTGGCTGCGGGCCCCCTCGGTGACCTCCTCCTTCTGTTCCCCTCTCCCGCCTGCTCTGTGGCAGCCACGTTGTCCTCACTCTCGGACACACCAGGCCCTGGCTCTTTCCGCCTGGAATGCTCTACTTCCAGAAACTGGCACAGCTGACTCTTCTTTAATACTCAGGTTTCAAAGAAAAGCCACCTTCCCTGGGGGGCTTTTTCTCACCACCCCACCTAACCTAGCATCTCCCTTGCTAATAGTGATCCCCTTTTCTACTCATCTCCTCAGGAATGAACACTTAGGTTTTTTCTTTTTCTTTTCTTTTTTAAGATTTTATTTATTTATTTATGAGTAACACACAGAGAGAGGCAGAGGGAGAAGCAGTCTCCCTGTGGAGAGCCCGATGCAGGACTCGATCCCAGGACCCTGGGATCACAACCTGAGCCGAAGGCAGATGCTCAACTGAGCCATCTCAGGCTCTCTCTCTCTCTCTCTCTCTCTCTCTCTCTCTCTCTCTCTCTCTCTTTCACTTCAAATCTGCAGTGAACCTCCTCAGACATCTCTGTGTACGTGTGAGAGCATCTCTGAGACCTGCACAGGTGAATTGCTGTATCACAGAATATGCAGCTTTTCAATTTTACTAAATACTGTCAGGTTGCTCTCCAAAGTACCTTTACCTAGCAGCTTCAGAGAGTCCTTATTTCTCCCTTGTGTTCACTGCTCCAGATAGTCTGATTTGAAATTTCTGCAGCTTTGGTAGATGACAAGGGGGATCTTCTCATTGTTTTATTTTGCACTTCTCTAATTGCTAAAGAGTTTAGGTGTTTGGCTTTCTTTTTTTTTTTTTAATTTTTTTTAAATTTATTTATGATAGACATACAGAGAGAGAGAGACCGGCAGAGATACAGGCAGAGGGAGAAGCAGGCTCCAAGCACCGGGAGCCCGACGTGGGATTCGATCCCGGGTCTCCAGGATCGCGCCCTGGGCCAAAGGCAGGCGCCAAACCGCTGCGCCACCCAGGGATCCCGGTGTTTGGCTTTCTTTTCGCACTGTCCGTACATGACTTGACCATTGTTTTTTTGGGAGCATTTAACATTGTCCAGTGGACCTATAGGATCTTTTATCAGTATTCTGAACACAAATCTATTATACAATGCTGCAAGTATGTCCTCTCTGTTGCTTGTCTTTTATCATAGGCACATTTTATGCCTGTTGTCAAATAAATGGATGGTTTTTGTTACAGTTTATGCCCACTGTGCATATTTAATAATCCTTAGCCTCCCTGAGGTCAGCAAGTTAATTCTTTATGTTTTTCTAATCTTTTCAAAAGTTTTACCTCCCACATCCAGGTATTGGCGCCACTTAAAATGTGTTTGGGGTGTGGCGTACATCACTTTATGATCCGAGCATTCAATAACAGTAAAAAGCAGGAGATGCAGCCCTGACAGGCAACTGTCTGCCAAGCGCCTCTCCTTTGCTCACCCCTTGCCTCCATGGGGGACTCACCCAGCATCTGGCCCATGTATTCTCCTCCCTTATCAGAGAACTGGTTGTGGCTGAGATCCAGCGTCTTGATTTGGTAGTTGGCCTGCAGAAAGAAACAAGGTAGAGAGAGAGGTGATGTTTGTCTTCTCTTGGCTGCAAATACCTCTTTCATCTCTTGGGCTGTGTGATGGAGGGTTCCCATACAAAAAAAAAGAAAAAAAAAAAGAAAAAAAAAGAAAAAAAAAAGAAAAAATCAGGTGGACGAGAGTTTATAGACTGAAGACATTCTTTTGTGCATTTTGCATCATCACTGATGATGACTGCTGGGAGGAGGGTCTAGTCCCATCCAAATGGCCTGGCCACTGCTGTGGCTGTGGTCAGGATCGGCAGAGTCCAGACACCCACCAGCTCCCTAGACATTCAGGTGACCTCACTTCTCTGTACCCGGAGCCACCCTGTAGGCTTCCCATATCTCCCAGGGCCATCTCCCAGGGCCATCTCCCACAGGGCTCGGTGGCACCCACCCCTCGCTTCTTACCGCCAGGGCTTGGCACAACAGTTCTGCAGATTCATCCCTGAAGTTATTTCCTGCAGTGAAGGGGGTTGTTTGCAATGCTGTCCAGACTAGGGCTCCCTTCCCCTCCTGTATCTTGGCCCTGTCAGGCTCTTCCCTTTGGAACAATCAGCCATAGGAAAGGTGACAAGTACTTTAAGCAAATATATGGACATGGAAGAGAACAGGAGAAAAGAAGGCAACTATTTGCCTTTCTCTTGAACATTCTCTGCTCTCTCTGTCATGATAGTGACATGTGGGGGAGTTCCAGTGATAGTGATAGTGTGGGGAGTTCCAGGAGTCCACACATCATCCCCTGCATCCCCCCCTTGGCAGCCTCGACCCCTAGCTTAGTGCCTAAAGTCTATAACATTATAAAAAATACAAATTCAGCAGCAGGGCCGGGACCACAGGGGGACAAGTGAGGCACTCCCATTGTGTGCAAGATCTGAGCTCAGTAATCGCCATGAGTAATATCCTAATACAATACTTGTAAAACTCAAAATAATGTAAAACATCCAAGATGAACAAAAGTTTAAAGTTTTATTATTGATTTTTTAAAGATTTTATTTATTTATTCATGAGAGACACAGAGAGACAGAGAGGCAGAGACATAGGCAGAGGGAGAAGCAGGCTCCATGCAGGGAGCCCGATGTGGGACTCGATCCTGGGTCTCCAGAATCATGTCCTGGGCTGAAGGCGGCACTAAACCACTGAGCCACCCAGGAATCCCCAAGTTTAAAGTTTTAAATAAAGGCAGGATCTGACCTTGCACTTGCATGGCTGCACTCAACCTAACCATAATCTGTCCCTTGTGGATCCTGTTTTAAGTGTTGATATTTTGTTCACTACAGATTTTTTTTTACATTATTTCTGATTTTTACAGACATTACCACAAGATATCATTTACTTAGTTACTGAGTTTTTTTGTGCCCCTTAAATTCTATGACTGAGGTGTGTGCCTTCCTTATCTCACTCTCACCCCAGCCCTGCTAGACAGTTTAAAAGATTTCTGGAAAATTGGGGTGCCAGGGTGGCTCATTTAGTTGAGTGTCTGACTCTTGATTTTGGATCCAGGCGTGATCTTGGGGTCCTGGGATGGAGCCCCACCTCAAGGGCTCTGTGCTCAGTGGGGAGTCTGCTTAAGGATGCTTTCCCTCTTCCTCCCATGCTCCATGAGTACTTTCTCTCTCTCTCAAATAAATAAATCTTCATTTTTTTAAAAAAGATTTTATTTTATTTACTTATGAGAGATACACAGAGAGAGGCAGAGACACAGACAGGGAGAAGCAGGTTCCATGCAGGGAGCCTGACGCAGGACTTGATCCAGGGACTCCAGGATCATGCCCTGGGCTGAAGGCAGGCGCTAAACCACTGAACCACCCAGGCGTCCCTAAATAAATCTTTTTAAAAAAGATTTCTGGAAAATAAATGATATAGAGACTTATCCCTAAATTTTTCCTTTAAACCCTTAATAATATTTGTATCTCTAGCACCTAAATAGTGTTTGGCACCTAACAGTGCTCCATATGTGCTTACTGAATGAATGAAATGAATCCACTGAGACACAAATGCACCTTGGTTGCATCTGTACCAGTGCAATGAAATGAGACAATAAGTTGGTCAACGCATAAAATTAGGTTATTTGCGATTCAAATTGTGTTTACATCAGTGGTTACAAATAACAGAGATGGCTGTAAGAGAGTCATTTAGGAAGTTTGATAAAATACAGATTCCTAGATCCCTCCCTTTAAAGATTCTGACTCAGCAGCCTGGGATGGGACTGGGTAATTTGTATTTTTACAGAGCTTTCTGTATTATGTTAGTGTTGTATTAGAGGCCTTAGCCAATGCAACTAGAAAAATCACTGGGAGCTATAAGTATTAGAAAGAAGAGACAAAATTATTACTTGCAGACATGATCACCTATCTAAATAATCCAAGAAAAGTAACTGACAGAATGTTAGAACTAATAAGATAACTCAATAAAGTGACCTGGTGGGGGGGGTGCCTAGGTGGCTAGTTGGTTGGATGACTGACTCTTGATTTTAGCTCAGGTCATGATTTCAGGGTACTGAGACTGAGCCCCATGTCAAGCTCTGCACTGAGTGTGGAGTCTGGTTGAGATTCTCCCGTTTTCTCTCTCTGCCCCTCCACACCCCCGACTGGCATTCTCTAAATATAAATAAATAAATAAATAAATAAATAAATAAATAAATAAATAAATAAATAAATAAACAAACAAATAAATAAAGTGACTGGATATAGGATCAATATACATAAATCAATAGCTCTCAGACATATCAGTAATAACAACTTAGAATATATGATAGAAAAGACATTCTGGGGCAGCCCAGATGGCTCAGCAATTTAGAGCCGCCTTCAGCCCAGGGCATGATTCAGGAGACTTGGGATCAAGTCCCATGTCGGGTCCCTGCATGGAGTCTGCTTCTCCCTATGCCTGTGTCTCTGCTTCTTTTTTTTTTTTTTTAATTTATTTATGATAGTCAGAGAGAGAGAGAGAGAGAGAGAGAGAGAGGCAGAGACACAGGCAGAGGGAGAGGCAGGCTCCACGCACCAGGAGCCCGACGTGGGATTCGATCCCAGGTCTCCAGGATCACGCCCTGGGCCAAAGGCAGGCACTAAATCGCTGCGCCACCCAGGGATCCCTGTGTCTCTGCTTCTCTCTCTCTCTCTGTGTCTCTCGTGAATAAATAAATAAAATCTTAAAAAAAAGAAAAAAGAAAAAAAATTCTGTTTATGTGGGAATAAAATGATAAAGCACCTGGACCTATATGAAATGTGCAAGGCTTCTAATGGAATAAAATCATAATACTTTATTGCAGAAGAAAAAAAAAAGACTTGAAGAAATAGAGATAAACCTAGTGGCTAGGATTTGGACCCAAGCATTGACTTCAACATCCACACATTTAATCATTCTGGTTCACAGGTAACTGGGTGAGAGCCAGAATGGAGACAGTATAGGGAAAGGTATTCCACTGGTAGAATTGTAACCTGGTACTGTATTCTTAAATGAAGACATTCAATATTTTGAATATTTCAATTCTGTCCTAAATTAATCTAGAACATTAACTATAACTCTAAATAAAAGCCAACAGTTTTTTGTTTTGTTTTGTTTTTTATGGAACTTGACAAGATGATTCTAAAATTCAGCTAGAGGAGAAATTGCACAAGAATAGCCAAATTACTTCGAAAGGAAAGTCAGACTTTGTCCACTCAAATATAAAACATATCATGTCACATCATATAATTATATAGCTAATGTATTGCATATTATATACTTGATATATTTCATTAATTACAATTAATCATTAAATTATAACACATGGCATATAGTTTTAGTTTTCTAAACAAATATTAAAATAGTATGGCATTGACATAGATAGAGACACAGAGATTAACAAAATAGAAAAGAAAATCTAGAGAGAAACCTGTATTTATATGAGAGTTTCATATACAATAAAGGTGACATTTCAAATTAGTCAGTAAAGGATTGAATATTCAGCTAAAGATGCTGGGGCATCTGGCTATTGGTTTTGGAAATACGGTGTTTGAGTCTCTCTCTACCTCATGCCACAAACAGTAGTAAGTTCCAGATATATTGAAGATTAAGGATGAAAAAACAAAATCATCAAAATATTTGAAGAAAATTAAGGAAAAAAATTTCATAATCTGAAGTAGGAAACAGTTTTTTGAGCAGGACTACAAAAACCAAACCCACAAAAAAGACTGATGAACTTGACAACAATAAATAATACAAACCATGTATAAGAAAACATCATAAGTAACATTCAAGTGTGCTTGAATCAATCCTCACATTCAAGTGTGAATACGTATAAAATATAAAGAGTTTCTAACACTCAATAATACAAACAACCTCATAGGACAATTGACATTTCATAGAGGAGAAAATAAAAATGGAAATAAGTATCTGGAAAAGATGTTTTATTTCAGTAGTAATGTGGGAATGTAATAAAGATAGTAATAATGATGAACACTTATTGAATACTTGGGTCCCAGGTATTGTTCTAGGTGTTCTAGATTTTGATTCACTTCATCTACATAGTCACTGTCTGAAGTAGGTAATATAATTCTCCTTAGTTTATAAATGAGAGAAATGAGTCACAGAAGGGTTAGATAACTTGCCTTGTGTCAAAGCCAGGATTTGCACCCACATGCTGTGAACATCCACACTCTATTCTGATTCATAAAAAATTTGCTAATAACCAAGGGAAACAGATATTCCATTGGTGGAATTGTAACCTGGTAGAGTCTTCTTCTTCTTCTTTTTTATTTTTATTTTATTTTTATTTTTTTCCTTAAGTAATCTCTATCCCTGATGTGGGGCTCTAACTTACGACCCTGAGATCAAGAGTTGCATGCTCTATGGACTGATCCAGGTAGGTGCCCCTGGCATGATATTCTCCTTCTTTTTTAAAGATTTATTTATTTACTTGAGAGAGAGCACTCGCTTGCACAAGTGAGTGGGGGGAGGAGCAGAGGGAGAGAATCTTCAAGCAGACTCCCTGCTGAGCACGTAGCCCAATGCGGGGCTTTATCCTACAACCCATGAGATCATGACCTGAGCTGAAAGCAAGGGTCAGTTGCTTAACTGACTGAGCCACCCAGGTGCCCCTATAGTTCATTTCTAATAATTCTATTTTCTGAAGTTCTTGATGCTGCCACTTGTTAGACTCTGATAGCTCTCTTGATGTTTCGTTTCCTTGTTTTGTAATTTTGGACCGTGAGCCCATCTTTAGTGGAGCTTTATCTGTGGAAATCCCAAGCAGCCTGGAGCCTGGGGCCAGGGGTTCTTCCTCCAATGAGGCACTCTGTTTGTTCCTGATGCATGCCCCAGGGTATTAGCAGCACAGGACCACTTAGATTAATTTCTTAGGGGTTCCAGGACCCTGAAGATAATACAAACTCAAACCACAAACCTGAGTGAGGACAAGTCTGTGGGAGCTAGAGTTCTCAAGTGACTTTTTTTTTTCTTTGAGAGAGACAGATAACAGACTAATTAAGAACTGAGTGTACAATAGGGGGTCAGGTAGCAATAAGTGCTATTAGAAAAAAACAAGCAGGGAAATAGGAGAGTGATGGGGATAGAGGGGAGGTCAGAGAAGTGCTCCCTCTGGAGATGACATTTAAGCAGAGGCAGGAATAAAGCCACAGAGTGAGCCATGCAGATATCTAGGGTAGAGACTTTCAGGCAGAGGCAGGCATGCTGCCAAGTGGGTCAGAAGTCTCTGGTCCAGGACAGCCAGGAAGCCAGTGTGGCCGTGGGGAGGAGGAAGGGATGACCAGAGGGTTTAAGCAGGGCGAGGACATGGTGTTCTGATCTTGGAACTCAGAGGGGCCTGGTCTGGCTCAATTCCACCCTGGATTCTCTGGCTCTTTCCTGTCTCTCCTTTGCATCCCCTTGTCCTCTCCCACCCCTTCCATGGGCTTACCTGAAAGCTGCAGATTCCAGAGTGAAGAGGTATTTCTCTGAAGAAATTCAGAGATGATTTTGGCCCCCTTAAAGCCAAGGTCATTGTCGGAAACATTCTAAAAGGCAAGAACACACTTATGTGTAAAAAAATCCCACCCAAGCGCCCTCATTAATGAACAGTGTTGGGGTGGATCTTACTTGAGGCCTGTATGCAGTGGGAGGACAAAGGTGAAAGGGTAGGAAGGTTCAGGAAGAGCAAAGGAGGGAGGGTGATGAGTATTCACTTTTCTGATGCCTGGCTGTGAGGCTCTCCCCCTGGTCTCAATCTTCTCTGAAGTTGGTTTTGGTGACTTCCTACTTCTCCAGGTTAGCCCTAGTACTTTAGATAAGCACATTGTACTTTTTTTTTTTAAACTGAGACAGCCTTATTTGGAGAGTTTGGCATAAAGCAACTGAAAAATTAGTTCAGAGTCATTCATCATTGTAAATTCCATTCATTGATTCCTGAAGCATGAATGACTATGCTGGGAACATGTAGGGATGCAAATAGACACAGCCCTTTTGGGCTAGTGGGAGGGACTTTTATATAAACCAGACATTATTATCTTAATTGTTTCTCCTCTCCTTTTTTTTTCATTTTTAAAAAAATTATGGTAAAATAGACCTAACACAACATTTACCATCCTATTTTTAAGAATGCAGTGCAGTGGTCTGAAATATATTCACATGCTTATGCAACTATCATCATCATTTGTATCCAGGCACATTGTGTTTGATGAAAGTATTTCACATCTTTATTTTCTCTAAGTTCACTCTTTTTTTTTTTGAAATTTTATTTATTCATTTGACAGAGAGTAGGAGCACAAGTAGGGGAGTGGCAGGCAGAGGGAGAGGCAGAAGCAGGCTCCCTGTGGACCAGGAGCCTGATGTGGGGCTCGATTCCAGGACCCTGGAATCATGACCTGAGCCAAAGGCAGATGCTTAGCTTAACCAACTGAGCCACTCAGGTGCCCCTGCATAGTTGCTTTAAAATGAATTTAGGGAGGGGCACCGGGGTGGCTCAGTCTGTTAAGCTAAGCAACTGCCTTTGGCTCAGGTCGTGATTCCAGGGTCCTGGGATTGAGTCCCGTGTCGGGCTCCCTGCTGCTCCCCCTGTTTGTGCTCTCTCTCTCTGTCAAATAAAAAAATAAAATCTCAAAAAAAAAAAAGCGTTTATGCAGAAGGGCTTATAAGGTCCAGACAGAATCCGTTTCTTAGGGTTTCCTCTGGCCACAAGGAACACAGCCCCCCTGCTGGCCTCTGACATGCAGCTGTCCTCTGAGAAGTCACCTCTGGAGGAAGAGGCCTCTAGACCAATGGATCACAGGGAGCTGGAGGCTGGCCAGGGCTGGGGCAGGGGCCTCTGGCCCATCTCAGGTGGGTTCCGAGAGCCCGGGGCCGGGGGTGGGAACCAGTAGCGCCGGGGAAAGGGCACAGTACCAACTCTTGCAGGTAATAGTTCTCTTGCAGCATCTCCAGCAGGCTCAGGATGCCTTCCTCCATGAGACCGTTGTCAGCCAGCTCCAGGGTGACAACACTTGTGTTGGACTTCAGCCGCCACAGGGGGAGGGGGAGAAAGACAGAGGTGGTAGGTGATCTAGTCAGTTCCTGGCCCTTGCCCGGAGCCCATCCCCTCTCTGGAACATGCCAGCCTTTTCAGGGATGCATGCTAGCACTTCTGGAGAATGGACAGAACGGGAGAAAGCACAGTGATGATCCACCCCATTGAGTTTTGCCAGGACGACATGCTTATTCTGGGTACCTCCACCAAAGGGGAACTCTGTGGGGAAATTTAGAAAGGGAACATTAAAATGATGAGATCCTTGAGAAAGTGCGGGACACAGGGGTGGGCTAAACAGATGGTTAACTATTTAGCCTGGAGGAGAGAAGCTGGCACCTACTCTAGGATTAAGGAGAACTTGATGCATTTAATAAGGGTATTTATTTAGTCTTTTTTTTAATTAAAGATTTTATTTATTTGTGTGAGAGAGATTGTGTAGAGCAAGAGAGAGAACATGAGTGGGGAGGAGGGGCAGACGGAGAAGCCGACTCCCTGCTGAGCAGGGAGCCCCATACAGGGCTTGATTCCAGGACCCTAAGGATATATATTTTTTAAGATTTTATTTATTTATTCATGAGAAAGAGAGAGAGAGAGAGAGAGAGAGAGAGAGAGAGAGAGGCAGAGACACGGGCAGAGGGAGAAGGGAGAAGCAGGTCCCATGCAGGGAGCCCGATGTGGGACTCGATCCCGGGACTCCAGGATCAGGCCCTGGGCCAAAGGCGGCACTAAACCGCTGAGCCACCCAGGCGTCCCCAGGACCTAAATTTCAATCTTAAATATGCACTTCCAAGCTAGTCAGCATTCCCAGGGTCAGAGGAAGTGACCTGCAGCATGAAGGCCAGGGGTTCGCTCTACCTGGCACTGTTTGTCATTCTTCCCTTCCTTACCTCGGGGTCCTGGTATGGAGAGATGTAGAGAACAGACACATTTTTGGATTTGAGCGTTTTCAAAGCGTGCCCAGCAGCAAGAGAGGTAGGCTGTGGGAAGGAGCTCTAGCTCCGGGCAAAGGGAAAGACGACACAGAGTTACGGCAATGTGGAATGGTTCACTCAGGGCCTTCTCGAAATGCCTTCTGGTCTCGGCTTGCTGAGGCAGGCACAATTTCGTATGCTCAAAGGCAAGGGTCATGGCTCACGTGGCCAGGTGGCACTTAGAAGTGTCCAGGGTCGGGGGAGGGGGGAACCAGCATGGTGGGGGGTGCGGCAGGCAGCACCCCCCCAGGCCTATCTACCTTCATCTCATAAGGGCACATAGCCACTGGCTACTCCATGCCAACTGCTGGGGAAGCAATAGGGGTAGAGAACACCCCTGCACCTCACGACCCATGAGGGTGTGGAGGCGGGCAGGTGAGGGAGAGACGCGACACATGAAGTAGGACCGCTACTATCAGGGTGCTTTTAAGCGAAGCCAGGGAAACACAACATGTGCAAAGTTAAACATTGCAAAAGATAAATAACAGTTCAGTCACCGGCATGTCACAGTGATTAATTGTCAAATTAGTGACACAGAGAATCAGAGAAGAAAAAACATCCCCCCCCAAACAGAAACTGCTGTTACTAAGTGACAAGTGGCCCAAGTCACGAGAGAATTGCATTATTATCTGTTTTTTTTTCCATGAAACTCATGAGGTAATGGTGCATTCCTAACACCTCATTAATCAGTCTTTCAACACTCAATAAATTTCAAGATGGCTTTGTTCTTTCTCTGCTCTTCCTCTCTTTCCTCCCTCTCCAGAAAGCAGCACACTCTCACATTTCATGTAGCCTCTTAACGGGCATGTGCTAAATGCAAATGATGTTCTATTTCCCAAAATGAGTGAGTGCTTTTTTTTTTTTAAATCAAACTTTCTCTTTACCAACCTAAATGAACAAAGTGTTGTGCTGACATACAGTTGTCACGTGTTCTGTTTTGCTGGGATGGAAGTTGGTTTGTATATAATCAATTTTAATTATATAAAGCCATGATGAATTCAAGGTCAAGTCCTTGGTTGCTCATGCCAAGCCGAGAAAGAGAGAGAGAGAGAGGGGGAGGGAGAGGGAGAGAGAGAGAGAGAGGATTATTCATGTGGGAAAACATCATCTATTCTACAGTGTGATTTTTAAAGAATTATTAACATTGCAAAAGGCAAACATTGAATAGAATAGCTCTGTAGCGACCCCATTTATAGCAAAAGTGAGCTTCGGAACTGAGACCCAGGCTGACGTTTTGTATCAAGCACTTGCATTAGTGCTCAGCCACTTACCCGGAGCTGTTGCCTTTGCTTCCTGAATCAGAAAGAGCATAGACTCGCAAGGCCAAGGTCCCTAACAGCCCCCTTCTCAGGAGCTAATGGGGCATCCCTGCCTGTTCGGTAAGTCAACTGGCAGTCAAACAGAGTCTAGGGCAGGATGGGCATAAAGCTTGCAATTGAGGGCCCCATGGAAGATCTCTCTGAGATCTGTCACCACTCTGTCAAGGCCCACCTCTACCAGCCTTCGAGTGCCCCCATTGGCATGCTCACCACTAGGGCTATAGCAATAGCCTTGGTACCATTGGGGCCCAGCCCATGGTGGTTGAGATTCATGTAGGACTCCTCCATGTTCCGGAGGAAGTAGGAGACAGGCACCACGCTCATCAGTCTGCAGGCTTCCAGGTATAGCTCATTTTGTCTGGTGGTGAAAAACTTCTCTGTATCTACACAAAAAACATACAAGTGGATGAGGTGGGGTTTCTCTTCTACATTTGCCTTATTTCCCCTCTGGCCTTGGGCCAGTTGCAGACACCATTCATCTGGTGTCTCCTCTGCCCCCAGAATGTCCCTATGCGTGTGTGCACAGGAGGGCAACTCCAATCGGGAAGTCAGCCGGAGGTGGGAAAAGGAGATCCAAATTCCAGAAGGTCCAAATGGATATCTCCCTTTGGGTAAGAGACAGGGGTGCCAGTTTTAGGCCCAAGCTTTCCTAGGAGAAGGAACAGTGTGCCCATGCCCACCTCCCGGGATTGTCCACATCCAGGACTGATGAGATCAAGGACACATAAGGGCCTAGCTTGCTTGCCTACCATGGGACAGCTCTGAAAGGCCAAACAGACAAAAAGCTGATTGGTGATAGTTGAGGGGAGCCTCTGTTTTAGTTTCACTGCCACTGTTAAAATGAGAGCCGCGGGTAAAGCTTTGCTAAAGATATAGAGAGGCTCCAACTTGAAAATCCCTCAAGTAGGACTCAGCGGACTTTGCAAAGTGGCCCATCAGTGCAAGATGGAGGGATACCCCCTCCACCCCCGACCCCCAATCAAATGGAAACAAGCAAACTTGAATTTGAGCGGGCTTTTCTCTTTCAAACATTTGCAGGTCGGGATCCCTGGGTGGCTCGGTGGTTTGGTGCCTGCCTTTGGCCCGGGGCGTGATCCTGGAGTCCTGGGATCAAATCCCGCATTGGGCTCCCTGCATGGAGCCTGCTTCTCCCTCTGCCTGTGTCTCTGCTTCTCTCTCTCTCTGTGTCTATCATGAATAAATAAATAAAATCTTAAAAAAAAAAAAGCATTTGCAGGTCATGTTTCCTCACAAAAAGGAGTGTTATGCTTACTTTACTGATGACAAATCCAGCCCCATATCACATGCGCTCAAGCCAGCTGACATCAGGGGACATAGGGGACATTAGGTCTCCATTCCAACCTCTCGGGGCCTTTGTTCCCTGGGTTTGAGCCCTGCCTGGCTCGTGGTCAATGGGCAGCAGCGGGCCTCCCTGGATTCCATGCGCCCTCACAGCTGTCTCCTCATGAAGCAAGCCCCTTGGACAGCCGGGCCTCCCATGGCCAACTGGGGTCTAAAGCCTGCATCTGTTTTCCTTCAGATGCCAGGGCCTTTGGCCAACCCACCCTGGACATTTCCGAGGCCAACAATGAGAGCTTTGTTGGTGGAAAGGACAAGTTTACAAGGAAGTTGACTTTGCCGGCACAGCTACTCCCTGGCCTTCTCCTTAGGAGGTTTGTAGAGCAGAGGCTTTCAATCTCGGCCCTACCGACATTTTGACTTGGATAATTCTCTGTTGTGAGGTGCTGTCCTGTGTAGTGAAGGATATTTAGCAGGATTCCTGGCCTCTGCCAGTGAGGTGCCTGTAGCATCCTGCCCCCACTCTGCCCAGTCTGCCAAATGCCCCCTGGGGTGCAAAATCACCTCCAGGTGAGAACCAGTGTTGCATAGGAAAAACAGCATGTGGCAGGTGAGGAGCTTCTCCTGCCTTCTCTTCCTCTTCTGCAGCTTCCCTGCCAGCTTGCTATTCCCCGCACCCCCCCACCCCGGGTTTATGTCTCAGGCCTGTCCAGGAAGCCCTCCCTGCCCACTCCCAGCACCTCCGTACTGGCTACAGGGTCACTAGAAGCTCCAGCAAGAGGGCCCTGAGTGTCTATCCCAGCATGGCATAGTTGCCATGAGAGATTCCTGTTTGCCAAGTCAGGGTAGGTAACCCCCACCTTTGTCGTTGGCACTAGTTCTGCTCTGTTTTGTTCTGACCCTTTCTAGCTGTAGTCAGTGTGGTTGTGTTTTAGAGGCAGCTTGCAACAGTATTATATTCTCTTGTGGGGAGTTGGGGGGTAATGGGATGGAAGCAGGAATCTGGGACAAAGCATCCAGTTTCTATCTGCCACCCCTTCCAACCAGGAAAAATTCTGTGTTTTTTTTTTAATATTTTATTTATTTATTCATGAGAGAGAGAGAGAGAGAGAGAGAGAGAGGCAGAGGGAGAAGCAGGCTCCTTGTGGGGAGCCTGATAAGGGACTCAATCCCAAGACCCTGGGATCGTGACCTGAGCTGAAGGCAGATGCTCAACCACTGAGCCACCCAGGTGACGCTAAAATTCCGTGCTGAAAACCACATTAGTATGTTAGCAGCAGCCTTGACACGGAAAAGAAGTCAGAGAAAGAGCAACAAGATGCTGAGTGTGGGGCGGGGTGGTGGTGGTGGTGGTGGTGGTTGTGGTGTGGGAAGGAGGCATGTATGGAGGTGGAAGTTGTGTGTCGACCCTGGGTGGGGAGGTTTATGAATTGACTGACCCAGCCGCCAGAACACAAGAGAGGTCGGCCACTGGGCTAGCCTCAGCCTAGAAGTTCCAGGCTGGCCCATCAGGCAGGGGGAGCATTTTGCTCACGTTGTTTCATAGCTGTTCTGGGCACTTCCCTCCCAGGGGAAAGAGAGGGAGAAGAGGGTGGAGGCATTGTTTGCAATAAGAGTCTTTGCTGCAGCCCAGCCAGCACCCTTGCCCTCCCCTGCCACCCTGCCCACACCCCTGTCCCCCACCACGGCCCCCGTTCCCCCGCAGCCTCCCAGGGCACACTTGCTTTGTTTAGGGCTAACATTCAAGTAGGAGAACCAAGAACTTGAGAACTCAAATGTGAGTAGAGGGGCAAGTCACTGGGATGCAAGATGAGCCACAGACACTGCAGGGTCCCCCACAATATGGAGCACGAAGGCAAATGAGCAGGGTGGGGTGAACAGGGCACCAGCGAACATTGGCAGCTCTCTGTGGCCTTGGGCAACTCACACTCAGTTCCCTCTTGAAAAGGCCGATAATAATGACTACCTCCTGGGATTCGTTCAAAGACGACATAAGATGCCACAGGTGGAATCATTTAGAAAACCAGAAATCCCTGTTCGTGTATTGATTTACCTTTGGACAAGCCCATGTGGCTACTCTGCTCACCAGGGAGGCCACGGGCACTGGGCAGCTGCACCTGCTGCCACTGGGCCAGACTTGAAGAGGACGTGGCATGGAACTGGCCCCAAGAACGCCTTTGTCAGGCCAGCCTGCCGGGGCCAGAGCCATGGCCAACCTGGGAAAGCAGAGGCCTCCAGCCTCTGAGGAACGAGGCTTGCTACTACCCCACCTATTAAGTGTCCACTCTCACCTTCAATCTCCAGGTCTGTTTCTGAGCTCTCTCGGGCTGGCTTCTCTTTTTCCACAGCCACAGAGGCCTCGGCCTCACAGTAGAGGGTTTCATCACTGTTCTGTGGGGTGGGTTTGGTTTCGGGTTCATCTGGAAGAAAAAAACTCATCTCCTTGATGCTGGCAATGAAACCTGCTGGCCTTTCACGTAGAGCCTGGCCTATGCTCCCTTCCTTGGCAAGCTACGTCCTGGCCACAGCCTGTGAAACCCGCCCCCTCCCGTCCCCATGCAGCTCAGCATGCTGAGAACCACAGTGTGCGTTCAGTCCTGACTGGGGGACTCCATTCTACAAGCCCTCCCTCCGGGACACAGTGCCACCTCTTGGTCACCTATAGGGTCTGGTGCTAAACACCCCCTGTGTCCTCTGGGACTCCCTGCGCCTGCCTGGTTCCCTGCTTTGGGCCTGTCTTGGAGATTGGCTCCTTGCTCACTTTTCCCCTTCTCATTGGCTTAGATGGGGTTCAGAGTCTGCTTCATGCTTTCAGGGAGAGGATGTGTGCCGATGCCTAGGCCTCCTCATTGGCGGGCACAAACCATGCTGCAGAAGGCAAAGGGCAGGGCAGGGCAGGCAACTTGGGTCAAATATGAAATGAAATGAGACAGGAAGCATCCCAAGGAGAAAGAAAGATAACTTGATTCCTGAAAATTTGACCTAGCTTCTCTTCCTTCCAATCCAACATTTATTTTAGGACCATGAAGAAGGAAGGGTTGCAAAATCTTGCTGGGATCGTTAAACATACACGTCCTAAGCTTTCCTCTTACCAGTCCCCACACTTGCTGGACATGGTTTTCTGCCACTGGATCACTGATCTGGGACCAGCATGGGTTCCTGAAAGCCTCACACAAGGGTCCAGAGCTAGTCCTCCCACATGTACTCGATGCAATGTTTGGAGGAGCCATGCTCCATCACCAAGTAGCCCATCAGAACTTGGCCAATCTACTCTTTGGGTGGGTTGAGCATTTGTGGCGGTGGTCCCAAGTTTTAACCACCCAGATTATAAAATAGCGGGGTTCCTAATAAGTTCATGCAGGTCTGTGATTTCTCAGTCCTTATCCATAAACCCAATATTTAAACCCTTATTATCCATAAGCTCCAATATTTATTTCTGAGACTGTAAGACAGGGTCTGGATGATAAGGGGTAGAAGTAGCAGTGGCCCAGCAGTTAGAAGACATACAGCAACTTAGCCATCCAACTGAGCCATCAAAAAGTTTTAACTTTTTTTTTTTAAAGTTTTAACTTTTTGAGTCTTAATATCCTCATGAGTCATACAATTTTAGAATTCCATCCATCCAGCAGAATGCTAGTACATGTTTAAATAGATATCCAGAAGAAAAAAAAATCCTGATTTGTAGTGTTAGCCAATTCAGGTGGCGTAAATATTCCCAACATGGCTGTTTCAAACTACCAACATGACATAAACCAGCTCACAAAATGAAAATTAAAGTCACCCAGAGTTAGTACAAGCCAATTCCAGCACAGCATTGCCTCTGACTCTCTCTCTCCCTGTTTGGGAAGCCCTGAAGCCAAGTCAATGTAACCCACTGTCCAGAATCTAGAGGGTCCTGGCTGAGGAGGGGAGGGGGCTTCAGGGTCATGTGATCACTGGGTATTACACCGAGCAGTTCAGAAGGGTCCAAGTGATGAGAGATGGGATGCCTGTTCACCTTTTGTCTCAGGCTCAAGAGGTTCATCATTGTCCATGGTGCCAGGGCCCTTTCGGGGGCTGCTGCCAGCTTCTTGCCACCTTTCTGCTGCTTCCCTAAGAAGCACACCTGTCTATTCACTTCTGTCTCAAACTTTGTGCACCTCTGCCCTCTCACAGATAAATCCCACAGTGGGGCCTAGAGTTATCCTTCTAGCCAAGCAAGCCCTGGGGAGGGTGGGCTTTGGTGGGAACTGGACTTGCATGGATTGGACCCCAACTCTGTCTGGGGGAAGTAGCTACTTCCCAGGATCATCAGGGAGAATGGTACAGCTCTATTCCTGGGAGCCCCGTCGAAAGGATGCGCACACCCTGTGACTTTGTGACTTAGGGGCCACTTTCATTTCACCTCTTCAACATTCCATGACCTCATGCAGTCATTGTGATCCATGTGGGTGAACTTGGCAACAACCAGCCTCCCCTCTTGGTGGCCCCGGCAGTCCTCTTTTCTCATATGTCTGCTGGGGCCAAGCCCAGGTTTGGTTGTGAGTGTGCAGGTGCTGTGGGGGGGCCTCTCGGTGGTGTTAGATTTCCCTCTGTGGCAGGAGCAAAACCAAGCTCCTTAATCAGGTGACTGTGAAGAGCGGCCACCATGTTCTTCTCTCAAGGTGGTTGTGCTTCAGGTACGAAATATTTCAGTGATGGGTGAAGTCAGTTTTCTTCTACCCAGTTCTCTTTCCTTTTTTCTTTCCTCCCCGAGAGAGTATCCTAAACCTTGGAGCAGAAGATCAAAAGCAAAGCACAACAAACATATGTTTTATCACTACAATTTATTGCAGCCAAAGTATTGTTTAATCCAAACTACCGGGCTGCCTAACTTGAAACCACTCAACCATCATTCACACGCGTGGCTGTTTTCACATGTCTTGGAGTTGAAGTTCACTTGCAGTTTGCTCTCAAGAGAATCTGGAGGTGTGTTTGTTCCTTCTTGATAAGCCTTCAGCACATCAACGGTCAGGTCAGTGACTGGAGGGCTTGGGGATATGGAAATCCCTCTTTGCCACTCAGAAGAATGACGAAGATCTAGGAATTTGTGTAGGGAAACAATGCTTAGAACCTTGGACTGAAAGAAATATGTATATCTGAGATGTTACCCTTTCCTTCAGGCATTCATTCTGTAAAAAATTTATAGAGTATCTATTATGTACAAGGCCCTAAGATAGGCACCACTGTGGGGAGGGGATGCAGACATGATTATGGCATGGTCCCTTCAAGGCATATATAATACAAGATAGGAAGGGTGTGAGGGTGGTGGGCAAGTATTTTTGGCAGAGCTCCTGTTCATAAAACAAACATGAGTCACCCTACATCAGCATGGCAACACCATTCTACTGGCCCAATCCCATGTGGTTCCTTGAAAGAAACACCAAACAGGCCAGGGGGAGTGATCAACTCCTAGGATGATTTGGTAAGCATGAGTCCTAGAGACCCTCTGGACATCTGGTCTACTCCACACTGGTACAGAGGATAAGAAAGTGTCCTGAAAGGAGAAAAAAGGGGACTGGAGAGTATATATTTCGGTCCTGGTCTAAACTCTAGGTGCTCTGTCTGGATAGCACCACGTGGTCTCAGGCACAAAGGGAAAATTAGAAAATTTGAGGGAGAGCACTCTAAATAGCCACTGAGCAGAGGCACCAGGCACTACTGGGAATTGGTAAGGGTCAGGAGGGAGATTCTCTGGGAGGTCAAGGGAAGGGGAGGTTTCTTCGTGCTGGGGAGCATTTGTGGGTTCTGGATAAGTAGAGTCCTGGCAAAAGGCATTTCCAGGGATGCAGAATAAAGGAAGGCAACAGAGCTCAAGCTCAGAGCAGGAGGGAGATTCTCTGGGAGGTCAAGGGAAGGGGAGGTTTCTTCGTGCTGGGGAGCATTTGTGGGTTCTGGATAAGTAGAGTCCTGGCAAAAGGCATTTCCAGGGATGCAGAATAAAGGAAGGCAACAGAGCTCAAGGTTTGGGGGAATACAGGGTGCAGAGAGTAGTAGGGAAAAGGGAGGCCATAGGGATTAGAGCAATTTCAGGAATCGATTCAATGCAGTGAAAAGCCAATAGGAAGCACTGAGGATCTTTAACAGGAGCATGGTTGAATCAGAGCTCCTCTTTATAATGATGGACAGCAATTATATTTATTTGAGGGAAAAAGTCCATTCTGGAGAAAGAAAAATGTTCAAGAGCCATAATTTTAGAATTTTGTATCTCTTTTAAAATCAGAAAATATATCAGCAACTTCTTTTTATTCTTTTTATTTGAGAGAGAGAGAGAGTACGAGCGAGCACAAGCAGGGGGAGGGGTCAAGGGAGAGGGAGAAGCTGATTCCCAGCTGAGCAGGGACCCCCCCCCACCCCACCCCGTCCCACCACCTCAACATGGGGCTCGATTCCAGGACTCTGGGATTACTATCTGAGCCAAAGGCAGGTGCTTAACTGACTGAGCCACCCAGGTATCCCTGCAACTTCTTTTTGTATGTTATTTTAAAAGTTTGTTACTGAGGAACATCCTTTTTTTTTTAAGGATTTTATTTATTTGAAAGAGAGAGTGTGCATGAGTTGGGGGGAAGGGTGGAGGGAGAGGAAGAAGTAGACTCCCCGCTGAGCAGGGAGCCCAACGTGGGACTCGTCCTAGGACCCTGGGATCATGACCTGAGTTAAAGGCAGACGCTTACCTGACTGAGCCACCCAGGTGCACCAGGGGTATCCTTTTGTTTTTTAATTAAAATTTTAATTTTGAAATATTTTAGATTGTAGTAGAGTTACAAAAAATAAGAGACTATATACTCTCCAATCAGCTTCCCCTCATATTTACATCTTGCATAGAAAAATTCTCAAAACTAAGAAATTACATTGGTACAATGCTATTAACTCCACTATAGATAGTATTTGTATTTTACTCATTCTCTCACTAATGTCCATTCTTTGTTCCAGAATCCAGTCCAGGATCTCACATTGTGTTACCATGTCTCTCTATCTCTCTCAGAATATGACATTTCTTCAGTCTTGGTCTTATATGATCTTGACACTTTTAAAGAGTACTGGTCAGATATTTTGTGGAATGTCCCTCAGTTTGGGTTTGTCTGATGTTTTGTCACGATTCCTGGGAAAGGTGCCAGAGCTGATGTGCCCTTCTCAGCGCATATCAAGGACACATGATGTCAATATGGATTACCTTGATTTCTTGGCCAAGGTGGTATCTTTCAGGTTTATCTACTATGAAATTACTGCTTTCCACTTTGTAATTATATAGTTTAGAGAAGATGCACTATGCAAATATCCTATTTCTGCTTCAACTTTTTGCCCAATACTTTATTTTGCCCAATAATTTTAGCATCCATTGATCTTATTGAGATCTTGCATCAACCATTATTACTATCATGTTTTAACAGTGCTTTTCTGTTTCCCACAGTCCTTCTATGTTTGTTAATTGGAATTCTTTTGTAGGAGAGAGTGGTCCCTTTCTCTTATTTATTGGTTTAATCAGTTGTTTATATTAGCAGGGATCATGGCTGCTTATTTTATTCAATACAGTACTGTCATTATTTTGATGTTCAAGTTCCAACTTTGGCTATGGGAGCTCATTCAGGTTGTCTCCTGTGTCCTTTTAACCTGCTCTCTACCTTTTATTTATTTGTTTTTTATTTTTATAGCTAAGACTATTGTTTTTTTTAAGGTTTTATTTATTCATTCAAAAGAGAGACAGTGCAAGCAGGGGATGGGCAGCAGGGTCACCCCCCCCACCCCGTGCAGGGCTAGATCCCATGACCCTGGGATCACGACCTGAGCTGAAGGCACCTAGGTGCCCCCTCTTCACCTGCATGTATGTAGCAGGTGTATGTTTAACCTTGTGAGACACCATCATGTTGTTACCCAAAGTACAAAGGGGCTCTGCTAATATGAATTTAACATAGGAATATATGGTAGCATCATTGTTCTACATTCTTCCCAACACTTGATATCACAGTTTTGTCTTTATTTTTCCATTTGAACTGTGTAATGGTATTTTCTGGTGCTTTTAATCTGTATTTCCCTAACGACTAGTGACGTTGAGCATCTTTCATATGCTTTTAGGCCATTCCTATATCTTTCTTATTGTTCAGATCTCTTGTCTCTCTTAAGTTGGGTGTTACTGAGTTTTGAGGGTTCTTGATATATTCTGGGTAGAAATCCTTTATCAGACATGTGGTTTGCAAATATTTTCCTCCCAGTCTGTGGTTTAGCTTCTTATTCTTAACTCTGTCTTTCACAGTGTTCACCAACTTTCTGCCTAGCCATGGTCATGTAGATTTCCTCCCATGTTTTATCCTAGAAATTTTATAGTTTTATCTTTTACCTTTAGGTCTACAATCCATTAAATTTTTTTTGTGGTAAAATATGCTAACATAAAATGTATAATTTAACCCTTTTTAAAATTTATTCTTTAAAGATTTTGTTTATTTATTCATGAGATACAGAGAGACAGAGGCAGAGACATAGCCAGAGGGAGAAGCAGGCTCCCTGTAGGGAGCCCGATATGGGACTTGATTCTAGGACCCCGGGATCACAGTCTGAGCTAAAGGCAGATGCTCAACCACTGAGCCACCCAGGCATCCCTTTAACCCTTTTATAGTGTATAATTTAGTGGCATTAAGTACATTAATGATGTTGCATAACCATCACCATGGTAAACAGATGTATAACCGTCATCCATTTGCAGAGCTTTCTCTAGGATCCGTTTTGAGTGAATCTTTGGGTAAGGTATAAAGGGTACCTTTGTGAGGTATGGATTGGGATTCATTTTGCATGTGGATGTTCAAATGTTCCAACAGTATTGTTGAAAACACTGTTCTTTCATCATTTAATTGCCTTTTTACCATGGTCAAAAGTCTGTTGACTGTATGTATCCTTTTGGGGTTATTTGTGGGGCTAGCATTTCAGAAACCATACAACCAGCATGTGATGTCCCATATAATCGGAATGTTGTACTTTTACAAGTACGTTCTTTTTTTTTTTAAGATTTTATTTACTCACGAGA